TAACTTTCTTAAAACTTTAAGTTCTACCTTAGCTCGTTAAAATCCTACCATTCTTTTAGTCGTCATTTCATTTTTTCCATTTGTTCATTCGTTCAGCAAACATGCCAGTGACTAAGACTGTGGTCCCTGTTTGTGGCACTTACAAGGGTCAGATGAAATGCCACTTCACCCATGAAGCCCTTCCTGACCCCACTAATATCTTCCTCTCCTCACCCCCAGGGATGCACTTTTGTTTGTTTTTTAAAAAATTTTTTCCATGTTTTTTTTCTTTTTAAGCTCCTTGAAGCAGGGACTGCTAATTACATGGAAATGCTTAATTATAGTGGGATGTGAGACGTATAAGCATAACTCATTTTATTGCACTTCGCATATACTGTGTTTTTTTTTACAAATTGAAGGTTTGTGGCAACGCTTCATCAAGCAGGTCTGTTGGCACCAGCTTTCCAACAGCGTTTGCTCACTTCATGTCTCTGTGTTACACTTTGGTAGTTCTTGCAATATTTCAAAATTTTTCATTATTTTGTTACCGTGATCTGTGATCTTTGATGTTACTATTGCAAAAAGATCACATCTCTCTGAACACTCAGATGATGGTTACCATTTTTTAGCAATAAAGTATTTTTAAATTAAGTTATATACATATTTTTAGACATAATGCTATTGAACACTTAATAGACTACAGTATAGTGTAAACATAACTTGTGTATGCACTGAGAAACCAGATGTGTGACTCACTTTATTGCTATACATGCTTTATTATGGCAGTCTGGAACTGAACCCGCAGTATCTTCGAAGTATGCCTGTATAGGTGACATTTTAAATTGCTTGCTTTAGCCAGATCTCTAAAATTTTTCTTTTAATAATAATCAGTTGGATGTTTTGTGTTTGTCATACAGGCCTAAACGCTTTACTTGCATTATCTCATTTAATAGTACAATCCAGTGAGACACACTGTTTTCATTCAAATTGTACATATTTGGAAATTGAGGTCTAGAAAGGCCCAAAAACACATAGTGATTAAATTGTGAAGCTAGGATTTGAACTCTAATTCTGACACTGAAGGCTGTGCTCTTAACCATTATTCTGTGGTATTATGTTTGGTGTCCTAATTATCAGTAAAGTAACCTTGACATTTTGTTTTGTGTATGTGTGTGTTGTTTTTTTTTTAATTATCAGAGACCCATCTATTTTGGATGGCTTAGATTTGAATGAAGATGAACGGGAAGTACTCATTAACAATATTAATAGGCGTTTGACTCCACAGGCTGTCAAAATTCGAGCAGGTAAATGATTTTTTAAATGATGTTTAAAATATTTTGCATGTACCAAAAAAGCGGTTACATAATGAGCCTCACCAAAGAATATGTTGCTACCTCAACATCTACCTTTTTCTAAATGTTTTTCATAACAAGAAAAGTTAAAGAAATTATCTTTGCTTTTACAGAATTATAAAATACATATATATTGACGCAAGTAAATGAGTTCAGCTAACCTTGTTAGCCTGCTTTCTGGGGCATGGGGGGTGGCGATTATTTTGTTTTAGTTCATGCTTTAAAATTCCAGCAGTCCAGTAATATCCTCCCAGGCCTCTGGATTAACCACTGTTATGTTAGTTTGCAACATATTCTTTCAGCAGAGATTTTTCCTATCCACATATGGTGTATAGGAATGTATGCTGTTTATATTCAGATGTAAATTTTTATGTTTTTATAAGGATGGATACTATGCAGAATTTTCTTCAACTAGCTTTTTCCACTTGGTGTATCATGGCTGCCCTTTCATGTAGAACACGGGAATCTTTCTCATTTTGAATAGCTAAGTAATATTCCATAGAATGATAAACCTTGATATAAGCCAGTTTCCTCTTGATGAGTGTTTAGATGGTGCCAGTCTTTTTACAGCAGTTGACCCTTGAGCAACGTGGGGGAGTTAGGGTCGCCCATCCTCTGTACAGTCTAAAATCCACATATAACTTAGCCCTCCGTATATGTGGTTTTGAGTCCAAGATTCAACTACCATGGTTCGTGTAGTGTTGTAGTGTTTACTGTTGAAAAATTCTACTTGTAAGCAGACAATGCAGTTCAAGTCTGTATTGTTCAAGGGTCAACTGTATTACAAAAAACACTGCAAATTAACACCCTTATACACATACACTTAACCCATTTATACAAGCGTTCGGTAAGGCAGATTCTTAAAAGTAGAATTGCTGGGTCAGAGGGTATGCAGTTTATAAACTGTTGTAAACAATTTGTGGTTATTATTTCATTCAGTCTTCATCACACTCCTCCTTATCTCCATTTTACAAATAAGGAACTGAAGCACAGAGGGGTTGAAATCATGACTTTTAACCCAGACATAGCCAGAATTCAAGGTGTTCGTTAAATTTCTCTTTTTTTTTATAGTTTCATCATTCAGGGGTTTGATGTGAATGAGAAGATACAATTTCAGTGCATATTCAGATATTTTTAATTATGAAAATTAATGGCTGGGATTGATTGATAATTGAAAGGATGATGAAAGCTTTCATACATATTTGAATACTAGTGTATTTGTCATGTCTCTGATTTCTTTTAAACCTCTAAAAAAAATTTTTGCATTTTTGTGGTATAAGCTTTTGAATTTTTATAATTTTAGATATTGAAGTGGCTTGTTATGGTTATGAAGGCATCGATGCTGTAAAAGAAGCCCTGAGAGCAGGTTTGAATTGTTCTACAGAAACCATGCCCATCAAGGTGAGTAGTCAGTTTTTTCCCTCCCTGATAAACCAAAATCACCTAAACCAAATCAAACCAGATTTTTTTAATGATCATGTCTCATAACAAATGTTATGAAAAGTGGTTCTTGATATGATATTTCTAGGAGATGTTTACAATTATGTGTAGGCTTTTTGTTGTAGCTACTGCTACTGTCACAGTGGATGGAGATTCCTGTTGGTATTTAGTGCCAAGGGGCCAGCTGTGCTAAGCCTACTTTACAGTAAAGAGTCACTGTGCCCATAATGCTCATAGAATCTTGAAAAGAGCAACTTATTCTCTCATATTCACACAGAGCTTTCAAGATGTTTGCCTTGAATCTTTCATTAGCAATAAAATTAACTGGATGGTTGTTATTCAGAATCTCATAGAAGAATTTCTTCTATCAGTTTAGTTTGGAACCAAACAGGAATTTTAGAGACAAATTATCCATTGTGCCAATGATAGCTATAGTTAGTTTAGCCACCAAAGACCCAGAAGTCATAATCCTTCATATTTGGTATTGCAGTAGCCTGTTTATACTACTGGATTAGATCATAGTATCAGTTAGCTTTGGCTACTTGAACAAACTACTCCAAATTGCTGTGCTGCAGAATTGGGAGTAAGTTTTGGGGTGATTTGTTGTTAAAGCAGCAGATAAGCAAAACGATTCTCGAACATCCTCATTGTTGTGTGTTGTATAGGTACATTCATAATTGAATTTTGTCTTCCTTAGATTAATCTAATAGCTCCTCCTCGGTATGTAATGACTACAACCACCCTGGAGAGAACAGAAGGCCTCTCTGTCCTCAACCAAGCTATGGCTGTTATAAAAGAAAAGATTGAGGAAAAGAGGGGCGTCTTCAATGTTCAAATGGAGGTGAGGTCAATACTGGGGTGTTTTGCCTTGTTCTTAAAGTTCTTAAGAAATTTAAAGGATCTAAGTGATTTGCATTCTAAAATATCTAATCGGAGTCATTTTAAAACATGAGATACGTTTAAGATTACAACTCCCCTAAGCATAAAATAATCATTGACTCAGAGAGTTCCTAAAAGGGTGTTTATAAGTAAATAAGAACTCTCATGGGATGGTTATTCAGGACTGTGGTCACTGATCCCCCAAAAGGAAAAAAATAGACAATGAAAATAAGTGATTGGTTATTGCCAGAATTTAATGTAGAATGCTTAAAATTTGATTTCAGAATTAAAAACAAGAATAGTCTCATACTTTCCTCATCTCAACAAGAACAAAAACTAATTTTCATATATAATTTTCAAAACAGTTTCTTCTGTGGAAAAGAATAGTAAGTAATTTATTTTGAAGCCAGAAGATGCATTTTTACAGGACATCTTTCTGTGTATTTGAAAGATACAGCCACTGCAATTATTTTCATATATTTTCTGTTCTAGCTTGTTAGAAATTACAGAAAATGTATTAGGTTTTAATATTTATGTTTTCTTTTCCTGTATTGTCTTACTCTCATAAATTTCTTTTATTATTTATCTCATGGAATTTATTGGTGATATTTCAGCACTCAAAAGTGAACAGATAGGGCAGAGTTGTTAGCAAAGTGTTTTTTAAGAGTTAAAATACCAGGCAGTAATACTATTGAAATTGAATTTGTGTACTGTTTGACTACTTCACTTTGAAATTGTGCCTCTGCTTCCACAGCCCAAAGTGGTCACAGATACAGATGAGACTGAACTTGCAAGGCAGCTGGAGAGGCTTGAGAGAGAAAATGCCGAAGTGGATGGAGATGACGATGCGGAAGAAATGGAAGCCAAAGCCGAAGATTAACTTTGTGGGCAACAGAGTCCAGTTTAAGGAACACAAAGCAGCCTTCCTGGCTGTTAACCCTAGACTTGAAAGTTTTCCAGTATTGAAAACTTCAAAGCTGAATATTTTTTATTTCGAAGTATTTAAATGTTCCAACAGACCAAAACGTGAAATGCCCTCCTAAATGTCAGCTGTTTTCACACAGTAGCTCTGACACCTTGAGCATTTTTTAAGGGAGTGGCCTGATTTCACTAGAGACAAATCTTTAAGAACAGTCATAAAATGGGGCGTGTGATTTCCATTTCTGATGTCTCCAGATTGGCACCCCTTTGTAGTTCAGTGCCTCCATGAGATTTACCAGGGGCACCCAAAGCAAATAGTCCTAACCTTTCTATATAAAATGTATCAAGCAAACATTAAATAAATTTCTGGGATATTTAACCATAGGTTTCTTCCTTATTGTCACCAGTTAAAAGCATTATGATTACTAAGACCCTAATTCTATTATCTTCATTTTATTTGAAATGTAGTAATATAAAGGCAGGTGACCTAAAGGATCAATATAGCAGATCCTTTCAAAGGGAGGGTTTAGAGAACATAATTTTAATTAGTGAAAGTTTACTCCTAGGGGGAAAAAGCCTTAAAATGCAACTAAAGAATTACATTGGTTGTGTGCCTTTTACCTATTTGAGACTGATGACAACATGTGGGATGAGGGAGAATTTGTCACACTGGTCCTTGTTGGCGTACTAAGCTGCTTGCCTTGAGTTTGTAATTCAGGGTGGTAAAGGTTTTAGGGGTGTTTCTTCTGTTTTTTAAGAAAAAGATGCTGCTTTTTAAATTAAGTTATTTGAGTCTCATTGCCCAACTTTCGATTTTTTTTTCCAGTAAAATATCTGCTAGGTGCCACCTAGAAGCTTCAGTTCTCTTCATAATAGAGTGGGGATCTGTTTGAACACAATTACAATGGTTTTTCTGTGTTTCCATCATTTTTTTCTTTAAGAGCTGATTGTTCTAAAGGTAAATAAATAATATATACAAAGGTAAATAAATTTCATAGATAACGTATGGTTTGCAGTTACAGCTACAGTAGCCAGGGTGTAGAAAGTCTTAAGTTAACTTTGGTCTGCTTCATAAATTTAATCTCTTAGGGTACTTGAGGTACTATATAAATTAATTTTACTAATCATTCCCAAGAAATACTTCTTAGAAGATTAAGCCTAACCCACCTTTGTCAATCCAGGACTAGACTTACCTCAGTGTTAAAGGGAATGGAAAATAGAAGAGTGTGTTGGTGAGCCATTTGAGCCATTTTTGAAGGTTTGTCCCTTTGTTTAATTTAGCAGCCTCTACTAGCTCTTTAAATCCAGAAGTCTAATTTCATATAACGGTTTCCACGAGGGAGCCATGATTGCTGGCTTGCATACTGGGAATATTTAGAGGAGAATCTGGCACATAATTTTCACTTCAGTCTTTCTGAGGAGTCAAAAAAAAGTCTATAAAGCTCACAGCATCAAGAATGTTATCAAACTGTAACAGGTGCTCCTTAAATGTTTGCTGTAAGCAGAGGAATTGAATTTTCACTTTGTTTACTGAATTTTTTTTAATACTTCAAAAGCCATAACTGTCGAGAAATACCGGTGGCATCAGTGGTGAGTGATTTTATCCCATGCAGGTCTTTTGCTCAGTTACGCAACAATTTTGCAAATTTATGACCCTTATGAGAAAAAAGATCAATACCTCACTGATCATGAAGGAGAGAACTAACTAAACTTACCCTGGTGACCTAAAAGTATCACTTTCAAATATGAGAACAAGATCACACCCAGCTCCAAATAACTTGAACAGATTGACAAAGACAATTGACCAGTTTATCCAAATGGATCTCTCCCCACAAAGACTTCATTAAAAATTGACAATTTCATCTACTCCCCATGCTGCCTTCGAGGTCAAGTGGTTATCGACTCATAACTGAAAATAGTTTGAGTCTCCATTAGGCATAATTAGTTGAAAATCTTAAATGGCCTGGAAAAATATGAATGCAAACCATTTTTCACGTTTTCTAGTAAAACAAGACAAGCCATTACTTACATGGATAATGCTCAGACACTTAGTGGAAACCTACAGAGACGTGCGAAGCTGTACAGTTACTACTCAGCTGCCGTACTTGACCTCGCTGCTTTTACATCGAGAACGGTGTAAATGGTTCCGGATTTTTAAAAATTCAAGTGCTAGTACTCTTGGCGAGAGTTGACCCCTGACTTGCCTCAAGGTGATAGTCAACTACTTTTCAACACACGATACTGATACCATACAGAGTGGGGTGTAATTGTGCTAATTTAGAGTCAAGAAGCCATCAAACCAAATGCAGTTTAATTCAGGTAAACACCTGTTGATAACAAGAAGCAATAAAGAAACTAATTCCAAGGACATAGACCTTGGTGAAATGCCAAATGGGAAATGGTGCTTTAAAAGGCAGTCTCTTAGAATGTGAGGAATAAAGTAAAACCTCAGATCAGTTATTCTAGACAAGATTAAGAGGAGACAGTTCAGACTATTGAAGAGAATGAATTTTTACTTAAGCACTTTGGAAGTATCCACTCCCCTTAAATGTAAGTTACGTATCTATTCATTAAAGGAAGCCGAAGCACTTGTACTTGGCAGATTACTGTATTAAACTTGAAAGTAATAAAAATGTTTTTAAAGATACTGTATGATGCAGACTTTTCACTACTTCAGATTAACCTCCTAACTGGTGAAGCTTCTTGGTACCTATTTGTCTCCATTAATCTTCATTCTAAAACCCAAAATTTCATGCCTTGATTTAATTCTTTTCCCATTGACATCTTTCTGTGTCCTTTAGAGAGCTCCTGTTCCTGTCCTTCAACAAACTCCTGCTCTGTCTATCTAAATGACATTTTTTTCCACAGAAAAACTGTAATTTTACTTTTTTTTGTATGTGTGACTAATCTGAGTCCATGATTTCTTTTCTGCAACGTATAATACTTACGAAAGCTTATTTTTCAAAGCAAAACGATATTTTCAAAATTTTGCCCCCCATCCCCACTTTAAGATGAGGCATGTTTTAGTGACAGATCACTTGAGATGTTTTTATAATCATCTTGCCTAATAATTCGTATAGCCTTAAGCATGAAAAACCTTTGAAAACTAAAACTTGGTATAGGAATTCTAATAGCCAGGAACAAATAACAATTTTTATTCATTCCAAAGAATGAGTTGCTGACAGCATTTCAGAGAGCGCCACCATGAGACTATAGTGTTTTATTTAGTATTACAACGTGGCCAGTTAGTGTGACAAGGGAAACCTACTTTGGTACCCAAGGAATGGCTGGTTGTGATGATGAGCGAAAGTCAAGATGCTGATGCCTAATGGCTACTCTAGCATTTCCATGTTAACTTTGAAGGTGGGGAAGGAAATAGCACCACTGCCCACTGTAATCTAAGGAACTCTTCACCAATCTCACTCCAAAGCAGTACAAAATAGAAAAAGCTAAAAGTCTTAACACATTCCCTTTTTCCAGGAAATCCTGTCATCTGTTAAGAGGGAGGAATCCTGATCCCATTCCCTCAGGTCCTTGTCACGTTAGCTTTTTGATAGCTTCAATCCACTCTGAACGCTCAGCCTTGCTGCTGGCCTGGATATAATAGTGTGTGTCATCCTTAGTAATCACTTTGAAGAGATTTCCCTGGACATTCCCTTTAACCCCTAGGCAGGAAGAAAAAAAAAAAAAATCAGCGAGTGAACATCCATGTCTGCTTTCAGCTGGGAGTAGCTGAAAGTCAACTGAGACACAGACAAAAACACATACCATGAAGTATTTCTTAGTACAAATGTGTATGGTTAGGAAATCCCACCAGATGTGCGCTTTCCTGTATTCCTCCTGTCCATCCCCTCTCCCTCACCTGTGCCTTAAGGCCTGCCAGTGCTATGTCTGGACATTCTTGGAAGCCCTCTTGGCCCGCCCGCTATGCAAACCACAGGTCTACAGTCTAACTCACATCAAAGAGTCCAGTATGTTTATGTTAAAACCAGACACAGATGTGGGATTTGACTTGAATTGTTGTAACTTCTTTGAACCTCAATCTCTACATCCATAAGTTAAGAATAATACTATCCTCCTACCTCAACTGTCTATTGTGAAATTAGTGTGCTAACAGTGTGTTGTCAGTCCTTAAGCACTATTGTAAGCTACTGTTCTTAGGCGGAAGCCTATGGGCCAGTAAGCACAGAAAAGGATGGGAAAGAATATGAAAGACAAGGGTCATTTAGTTGTGTTGTTAACACACTAAGAACACCCCACTTGCCCTTTCTCTAATCGGCTTCAAAGCTCACACCCTTCATCGTCTCGCTGAGAAAGCCCATCAGCCCTCACAGCTTAGCCCTTCAACAGCAGAGTGTTAACTGAGAGCACAGGAGGGAGGCCCCCGAGATCAGGCCAGGGCGAAAGTTGCCCCTTACCAGTGGGAACGCCATTATCCTCCAGAGCAGATACGAGTGAACCACGAAGAGAAAACCCACCCACTGGCCGGTTCTCTTCCTGCAAAGGAAAGGAGACCTGATTAGGAACTGTGTGAAGGCACAAAAAAGAAGAGTCACCCTCTCATCTATAACCACCCGCAGTCAGCCTGCTAAAGTAGTCTGTGAGAGTCATTTGTAACAGCAGTTGAGGCTGAACTTGGACATCACATGGCAAGTCGTCTGCACCAGCGAGGAAGTCCGGGCTTCTTCATTCCACAGCCAGCTGCAGCAGTGCCACCCCCCTCCCTGTCCCTCGGCCCTCCCTGTGGTCTAGCAGGGTCCCGGGGTGGGGGGCTCTTTCAAGCTCCTTCAGTTTCTCAGCTTAGGGTGGGGTTCCTGACTGAAGCTCAGCAAGGGAGGAACGTCCATTCTTATTTCAAAAAACAAATGAATACGTCTACCAAGACAAGGCTGAACAGGCTGACTGAAAGGACATTTTTCTTTTCTTCTGATTGGAATTAGATCAAACCCAGCATGCAGGAATACTTATTATCTGAAACTCAGAATTATGGCTTAAATATTACATGGTAAAAGAAACCTTTCAAAACGTTGGTGGGGACATGAGGTTGAGGGGGCAGAATTCCTGGACTCTTTGGGTGGAAAGGGGTGAAAAGAGACTAGAAAGCACCAGTTAGGAGTCTCTTGATCAGCCCACCTCACCTTCCCTAGGCACACAGCCAGCTTTGGAGAAACTGAAAGACGCTTTTCCTCTCAAAACAATGTAGATCCACTGAGCAGGCAACAATGCGATGAAAGAAAGGAGTGATCAGACTGTGAGGGGTAGCTTGCACCGTGCAAGGAAAGGCATAGTGGGTGGGAGTTATGGTAGGGATGCTGGGAGGAAGGGCGGAGGTGAAGCCAGCTGCCTGCTCTGCTCTGGAGAGATGTCTGGGAGCATGACAAGGCACTCACTTTGGAAGGGTCGTAGTAATGCAGAAAAGCCGGGTCCTTCCTCAGAACAAAGCGCCGCACCTTCCAGTTTTTCCTCTTGTGCCCCTGAGGCAAAGAGAGGGTGCAAGGCTCATCAGTGACAGCTCTCAGTCACTTCCTCCCACCTCTGTGCCTCCAGTGTGGAACCTCGAACCTCCCAGCCAGCCTGCTCCAACGAATGACTTTCTCAAAAGAGCCTGGAGACCTGGGGATCGCAGTGACGTGTCATGGACTTCACGGCTCAGTGACACTTCACCAACAGCAGTCACCTTTAGCCGAGTTGACACAGCCAAAGAGGGTCAGCACTGAAAGAAAGGGGGAGCACTGCCTGGACACCACTCAGGGCACACGGAGGACAGGGAGGTCACAGGTTTCAACTGGACCAAGAACTCACAGGCAAACTTGAACCCAAGGGCACCAAATTTTAAGCGTCAACTTAGTCCGAAAACAAACCTACACCTACAGGTATATATGTGCACTTATATACAGTGAAAACCACTTTGGCATTCTGCATCAGAAAAAGAGTAAGGCGTATGGTTACCAAAGGGGAAAGGGGGTGGGGGAGGGATAAATTAAGAGTTGCGGATTAGCAGATACCAACTATTATATATAAAACGGATAAACAACAAGGTCCTACTGTATAGCACAGGGAACTATATTCAATATCCTGTAATAAACCATAATGGAAAAGAATAGGAAAAAGAATATATATATATATATTTATAACTGAATCACTTTGCTGGACACCAAAAACTAACACGACCTTGTAAATCAACTCTACTGCAAAAAAAAAAAGAGTAAGAAACAATCAATTATATGTTTAAATCTAAGCGTGGAAGATACTGCCGTGCGTGTGACTGTGGCTTCACCCCTAGGTCACAAAGCTTCCTTAACCCTCTAGTCTGGAGCACCCCGAGTCCCTCCCACACCCTCCTCCTCTCCCAGGACCTCACTACCTCCCCTCACCAGACTCCCTTCAGGCCCAGCAGAGGCAGAGCCCTTGGAATAAACAGGCAGTTACGTGGACGGTAAGCAATCTAAGAGCAGAAGGGGATCCTGATACGCAAGAAGCAGGTGACAATGACATCGAGTGCTCCAAGAAGATGGGAACGGTGCTGAGCAGTGTTGTACAGACGCACACATTCACGTGGCGTGTCAGGACTGCATAGACACAAGAGGTGTGTAGGAGACTGGCTTACACCTCACGTGCCGGGACGCGGCAGCTTGGTTTGCAGGCACAGGTGGACATGCCGCAGGTGTGACTGTGACCTGGCTATCCCCGCTTAACGTGGCCGCTCTCCCAATGTGGTAGGAGCAGTGGCCACGGTCAGTTTTTAAACACAGAGATTACACTGCAGAATTTCACCTTCAACCTACTGAAGTAGGTGGAGAAAATACTTCTCAAGGGGGCAGGCAGAGTACCACAAAAGCAGGCAGAGACCCCAGGAAGCCTCAGGGAGCAGAAAGCCAGCAAAGGCAAAATGCCAACCAGCAGGCAATGCCCTTCCAGACAAATAAGTGAACTGGGCAGTGACACAGGCATTGTTTTCTAATGCTGTGATAACTACTTGTGTGCACTTTTCCCGGAACGCCCCCTTGTCTGGGGCTCGTGTATGCGCGAGTGGACACGTGCATGCCCCTTGATTTGCTCCCGGTGGCTGCCACTGGACCCTGACTTTAGCAGATTCTGCTGATAATTAGTGCCCCTGGCAGTCTCAGCCTTTCCCGCCCTTTGCGGGGATTCCTGCCTCCCCCGAGCTTGCGAACTGCCCATCTGCTCCCCGCTCCAAGGCGGCCATACCTGCTTGGCCAGATAGCCTTGCTTTACCACTGTGCCACTTAACTCCACGGTGCTGAGACTGATTTCTTCCTTGGAGCTTATCCTCCTCTTGGGGCTCTCAGCCTAGCGGGAAGGAGAAAGCAAGGACTCTGTTACCAAAAAGTCCTAGTTCTAGGCTGTGGAGGCTACCGCGGGGGAAAGGAAAAGCCTCCATACAGAAAACCCACTCCACCTGGGGTGAAGCTGTTCCCCCAGCCTTGGCCTCTCACCCGTGACTGTGGATCCCCACCCGCCCCCCAACTCTGTTGCCTCTTCCTCTCTCTGCCCCTGTGGCAAAAGGAACCCACTCCCTAACTTACAAAAGTGTACAGGGCCATGGAGTCATCCAGGAACTGCTCAGCCAGATCCCCAGAGCGAATGGCTCCCGTGCTTCGGGTGCCTACCGGCCTCAGGAAGTTCTCCTCCATGAGCATGGAGGCCAGGGTCATGGCCTCCAGACGGCTGGCTGCAAAGTTGTTGGAGATGAGCCAGTCCACCAGGGAGGAGCCTGCATCAGGGTAAGGGCAGCACCCGTCAGACGACAGGCTCCAGACCAGCTTCCTCAGGGGTGCTTGGCTATGACCTCATTGACCTTGACCTCTTGGGCAGCCTTGCATAGCCTTGGGGCTCTGCCCTAGAGCAGACCGAAGGTCACACCTGCTGCTCAGAGCTGTGGCCGCACTCACACGTGGCCATCTCAGGCCAGCCCCTTGGCTGGCAGGCAGCTCTGGCCTCAACACAAGCCACTCAAGCACACTGAGTCCCGGATCACCCAGCCCCAGGTTTCCAGTGCCTGGCCCAGCCCCCGAGAGGGGAGGCTCACCTATGAAGGTCTTTTTGTAGGTGCTTCCCTGCTCCATGTTGGGGCTTGGCCGGATTCCGCTGCTGCTGTCATGCATCTTGTCCACGATGCGACTACACAGAAGGAGGGCAAAGGAGAGGGACCCTGGTCACACTGACAGGTATGAGGGAGGGTCCAAGAGTCGTTGCTAAGGGTATAAAGCACATGGCACATGGGATGATACACATCGCAAAAAAGGGGGTATTCCATTATGCATCAGAATTTGAGAGGCAGGATTTGGGGACGTTCCTTTTTCTTCTTGCTCATCTAAATGTTCTAATATTTCTAGACTAGACAGGTATTCCTTTTGTAGTAGAACTAATGAGCTGTGGCTTTTAATTTAGAAACAAAAGAATGTTCAGTAATGATTCTCTATGATCTACTGCATAAAGTTCAAACTCCTCCAGCTGCTTCTCAAAGTCACCCATCACTTGAACCCGCACCCATCTGCCACTGGTCCTGCTTTGCACTCACCACGGTTCAGCCGCGCCCTAGATGCACAATCAAGATCCCAGAGCCTGGTATGAAGCTTTTTGGTAGTTTTGCTGCCTGGAAGGTTAGGGGGTGTTTCCTGCAGATGGGCTGATGTAAGAGATTCCATGATGGGAACTCCTTTCATCCGTCCCTACTTTATAGTATCGCCTCCACTACTGTTTTCCTTCTGTTCTGTGGGATGATTCCTGCCACAAATGGAAGATCTTTTCTCATTCTCTGTTTATGTACTTGGGCTGGAAAGCCCCTGAGATGAGACTTTGTTTATTCTCATTTGCATCTCCTGAGCACCTAGAGCAATGTATGGCATCCCGTAGGCACTCAATAACTGTTTCTTGAATGAATGAATGGATGAATGGATGAAGAATCCCACAGAGCGAGAATGCAACCGCTACCGGAACACATCGTTCTTGCCCCCAGGCTGCAAACAAGACTAATGACTTGGGTGAGGAGGGATTTCTGGGGAGCTGTCACATAGCCCTGAGCACCCTGGCTGAAACTGAAGAGAGGGTGTCAAGACACTGAGGGGGGGCAGGAGAGGCAGAGGCCCCAAGAGGTTCCCAGGGCAGGTAGGTAGGGCCACTCCCAGGCAGAGAAAACAATGTAAGCAGGACAGTGACAGCGAAAGGCCCTGAAGCACAATGGTGGTACCAGTCAGGCCTGGGTAACAGCCACAGGCCGCTCCCCCCGCCAAACCCCACCCCAACCCTGCATCCCCACTGCACACACACAGAAGAGTCTGCAGCCAGGCCAGATAGGGCAAGGGCAGGGCCCAGGCACTCACTGCAGGCTGATGTGAGGGGGCAGCTTGAAGGAATTCTTCAATATGTGGAGCTGTTGGACCTTCCCCGGCTGCCCCGCGTGAATAGCTCCTGTTATCTCAAAGGCCCAGGCGTCCCTCTCCTCTCGAGAACAGGCCTCCAGGAAGTACTCCGTGGATGTTTGAGTCTTCAGCTTAATGAGGAGCTGTGGGAAGACAGCCAGTCAGACCAAGCAGGCAAGAGAATGCTGGCTGAGCAGCTAAAATGACAGAACCGAGGGGAATCCAGGAGGCCACGTGGTCCAGTGACTGCCGAGTGCCTGAGCGCTCAACCACACCCCAGCTTGTGGTCTTTAAAGATTTGCTTGTACACCTCCAGTGATGGGGAGCACACCACCTTTCCCCTTTGGACAGACTCATTAGCATAGGGTCTGCTTCCTGGGCACTTGGTCTCTCTGCTCCTGATTCTGCCTTCTAGAACCACATAGATTAAGCTCACCTCCTATGACAGCCCCTGTGCTGAAGTGGGAAATGCACAGGCTTCCAGGTCACACTGATGTGGATACTTAGCTATGGACGTTTGGGCACATTAAAGGACCCACTGACTCTCAGTTCCTTCATCTGTCATATGAGGCTATTAATGCCTACCTTGAAGGAACTGTTAGTTCTGTTCCTTTTCATCCTCTTTCTAATCGGGTCTAATCATCCCAAGTCTTTCACACGTTCCTCATATGATACTGTTTAAACTTTCTCAACCAGTTTATGCCCTGCTAAAGGTTCTGCAGTTGGTTCAACATTCTCATAAAATATGACCCTTGGAATGGAACAAACTGCTCCAGGGAAGGTCTGGGGGTACAAGACAGCATGGGCCTGAGGTCTCATTAGCAGTGGCATCCTCAGGGCTTGATGCTCTGTGCAGTCAGCTGAGAGTCTTTTTCAGGTGGGCCACATCTCCTCCATCTTTTAAATGGGCATTTAGGGTTTTTTTTCAAACATTGTGAGATTTTGCATGTTGATCCTACTAAATGTCATCCGAGTAGACGGGGCTCACCACTTCTGTTGGAAAACAGAAGGATTCTGTCTCATTCTGATTCTGGTTTCCAATGTATTAGCTCCTACCTCGCTTTGCTTGCAAACTTCATCAAGTCCTTCACCTAAACAGCAAAAATGGTGGATAAGACAAGGCGGGCTCACGGTCCCAAAGAGTACCATGAAGCTGTTCCTCCAAGTTAACATGGATTCACTCATCAACATCGTGGAAAGATGAGTTCAACCAGCACCCTGTCAGTCTGTAGTTCGCCATTTTAATGAAAAGATCTCAGGAGAGACTATAAAGTTCCACGTGAAATCCAGACACATTTTTTTATAGCTTCCCTAATTAAAAATAAACACACACACACACACGATACACTTTATAACGTGTTCTTAGTGAACCTACTGACTCCTCTTGGCTTCTTCCCCCTCAAGTAGTCATGAACTGGCAGATGCCAATTTTCTGTTTGAGAATTTTACATAGAATTAGCAAGAAGTTCACAGCTCCAGTTAGCAACTTGTCTCCTTTTTCGAAACACAGAACAAACTTTTCCTATCGCCAGCCTGTTCTACCAGCACTTCTGCTCTCCACTGTTCCTTAAAGACAATGAAGCGGTATCAGGTCAACAAGTTAACCTACAGCGGAGAAAGAGCCAAGATGGCGGAGTAGGAAGAGGTGGAGTTCGCGTCTCCTCACAACTAGGGCCCCTACCAGGCACTGGTCAGGGACCTCGGAAACCTAAAGGGACGGGAGGAATCCCCGAGCAACCAGGTAGGATGTTGGGGGCGAGGGGGAGGGGAGGAAAAGAGGAGGCGGGATGGGACTGGCACCCCTGAGGGGCGGCTGGGGGAAGGGAGGGGTTCCCATGATTGGAGGAGCCCGCCCATGGAGCAGGGATTAGCAGGGATGGGGAGAGACCTTTGGGGTACTGGGGGATCGGAGGGGAACGAGGCTAGCGTCTCCCCTGCCTGCTTGAGCCCCAGAGAGCCTGCTGGGGCCCTGGGCCTAAACCTCAGCCCTCCGGGACCCCCTCCAGCCGCGCTGCACCTAAGCTCCGCCCACCACCAAGGCCTTTTCCAGGCTTCTTTTTTTTTTTTTTTTTTTTGCTGTCGTGGTTCTGTTTTGCCTTGTGGTTGTTTCATTTATATTTTTATTTTTCCTAATATATTTTTAATTTTTCTAATTTTATTTTATTTTTTATTCTTTGTTACTGTTTTGCTTTTTTTTTTTTTTTTTTTTTCTTGCTGCGCTGCACGGCTTGATTCCCAGGCCAGGGCTCAGACCTGAGCTCCTGTGGTGGGAGCACTAAGCCCAAACCACTGGACTAACAGTGAACCTCAGACCCCAGGGAATATTAATCGTTGTGAGATCTCCTGGAGGTCCTCATCTTGGCACCAAGACCTAGCTCTATCCAACTGCCTGCAAACTCCAGTAATGGACGCCTCAGGCCAAACAAACAGTAAGACAGGAACACAGCCCCACCCATCAAAAAAAAATGAGACAACAAAAAAATATGTTACAGATGAAGAAGCAAGGTAAAAACCTACAAGACCAAATAAATGAAGAGGAAATAGGCAACCTACCTGAAAAAGAATTCAGAGTAATGATAGTAAAGATGGGCCGAAATCTCGGAAATCCAATGGAGCCACAGATTGAGAAAATACAAGAAATGTTTAACAAGGACATAGAAGAACTAAAGACCAAACAAACAGTGATGAACAACACAATAACTGAAATGAAAAATACACTAAAAGGAATCAATAGCAGAATAACTGAAGCAGAAGAATGAATAAGTGACCTGGAAGATAAAATGGTGGAAATAACTGCTGAGGGGCAGAGCACAGAAAAACGAATGAAAAGAAGTGAGGACAGTCTCAGAGAACTCTGGGACAACATTAAACGCACCAACATACATATTATAAGGATCTCAGAAGAAGAGAAAGAGAAAGGGTCTGAGACAATATTGGAAGAGATTACAGTCAAAAACTTCCTTAACATGGGAAAGGAAATAGCCACCCCAGCCCAGGAAGTGCAGAGAGTCCCATACAGGGTAAACCCAGAGAGAAACACACCAAGACACATATTACTCACACTAACAAAAATTAAATTCAAAGAAAAAATATTAAAAGCAGCAAGGGAAAAGCAACAAATAACATACAAGGGAATCCCCATAAGGTTGTCATCTGATTTTTCAGCAGAAGCTCTGCAGGCCAGAAGGGAGTGGCAGGATATACTTAAAGTGATGAAAGAGAAAAACCTACAACCAAGATTACTCTACCCAGCAAGGATCTTATTCAGATTGGACAGAAAAATCAAAAGCTTTACAGACAAGCAAAAGCAAAGAGAATTCAGCACCACCAAACCAGCTTTACAGCAAAGGAACTTCTCTAGGAGGGAAACACAAGAGAAGAAAAAGACCCACAAAAACAAACCCAAAGCAATTAAGAATATGGTAATAGGAGCATACGTATGGATAATTACCTTGAATGTAAATGGATTAAATGCTCCAACCAAAAGACACAGACTGGCTGAATAGATACAAAAACAAGACCCGTACATAGGCTGTCTACAAGAGACCCACTTCAGACCTAGGGACACATACAGACTGAAAGTGAGGGGATGGAAAAAGATATACCATGCAAATGGAAATCAAAAGAAAGCTGGAGTAGCAATACTCATATCAGATAAAATAGACTTTAAAATAAAGACTGTTACAAGAGATAAGGAAGGACACTACATAATTAACAAGGGATCAATCCAAGAAGGAGATATTACAATTGTAAATATTTATGCACCCAACATAGGAGCACCTCAAAACAGGGCAAATGCTAACAGCCATAAAAGGGGAAATCGACAGTAACACAATAATAGTGGGGGACTTTAACACTTCACTTACACCAATGAACAGATCATCCAGACAGAAAATAATAAGGAAACACAAGCTTTAAATGACACAATAGACCAGATAGATTTAATTGATATTTATAGGACATTCCACTCAAAAGCGGCAAAATACACTTTCTTCTCAAGTACACATGGAACATTCTCCAGGATAGATCACATCCTGGGTCACAAATCAAGCCTCGGAAAATTTAAGAAAACTGAAATCGTATCAAGCATCTTTTCTGACCACAACGCTATGAGATTAGAAGTCAATTACAGGAAAAAAACTGTAAAATACACAAACACATGGGGGCTAAACAATACACTACTAAATAACCAAGAGATCACTGAAGAAATCAAAGACGAACTAAAAAAATACATAGAAACAAATGACAATGAAAGCACAACAACCCAAAACCTATGGGATGCAGCAAAAGCAGTTCTAAGAGGGAAGTTTATAGCAATTCAATCTCACCTCAGGAAATAAGAAAAATCTCAAATAAACAATCTAACAATTTAACAATCTAACAATCTAAACAATCTAACCTTACACCTAAAGCAACCAGAGAGGGAAGAACAAAAAAACCCCAAAGTTAGTAGAAGGAAAGAAATCATAAAGATCAGAGCAGCAATAAATGAAATAGAAATGAAGAAAACTATAGCGAAGATCAAAAAAGTTGGTTCTCTGAGAAGATAAACAAAATTGATAAACCTTTAGCCAGACTCACCAAGGAAAAAAAGGGAGAGGTTTCAAATCAATAAAATTAGAAATGAAAAAGGAGAAATTACAACTGACACCACAGAAATACAAAGGATTATAAAAGACTACTACAAGCAACTATATGCCAATAATATGGACAACCTGGAAGACATGGAGAAATTCTTGAAAGGTACAACTTTCCAAGATTGAACCAGGAAGAATTAGAAAATATAAACAGACCAATCACAAGTAATGAAATTGAAACTGTAATTTAAAAATCTCCCAGCAAATAAAAGTCCAGGACCAGATGGCTTCACAGACTAATTCTATCAAACATTTAGAGAAGAGCAAACACCTATACTTCTCAAACTCTTCCAAAAAATTGCAGAGGGAGGAACACTCCCAAACTCATTCTACGACGCCACCATCACCCTGATACCAAAACGAGACAAAGATATCACACACAAAAAAGAAAATTACAGACCAATATCACCGATGAATATAGATACAAAAATCCTCAACAAAATTCTAGCAAACAGAAACCAACAACACATTAAAAGGATCATACACCATGATCAAGTGGGATTTATCCCAGGGATGCAAGGATTCTTCAATATATGCAAATCAATCAATGTGACACACCATATTAACAAATTAAAGAATAAAAACCATAGGATCATCTCAATAGATGCAGAAAAAGCTTTTGACAAAATTCAACAACCACTTATGATAAACTCTCCAGAAAGTGGGCATAGAGGGAACCTACCTCAACATAATAAAGGCCATATATGACAAACCCACAGCAAACATCATTCTCAATGGAGAAAAACTGAAAGCATTTTCTCTAGGATCAGGAACAAGACAAGGCTGTCCACTCTCGCCACTCTTATTCAACATAGTTTTGGAAGTCCTAGCCATGGCAATCAGAGAAGAAAAAGAAATAAAAGGAATACAAATTGGAAAAGAAGAAGTAAAACCGTCATTGTTTGCAGATAATATGATATTATACATAGCAAATCCTAAAGATGCCACCAGAAAACCACTAGAGCTAATCAGTGAATTTGGTAGAGTTGTAGGATACAAAATTAATGCACAGAAATCTCTTGCATTCCTAAACACTAACAATGAAAGATCAGAAAGAAAAATTAAGGAAACAATCCCATTTACCATCACAACAAAAAGAATAAAATACTTAGGAATAAACCTACCTAACAACGCAAAAGACCTGTACTCAGAAAACTATAAAACACTGATGAAATAACTCAAAGATGACACAAACAGATGCAGAGATATACCGTGTTCTTGGATTAGAAGAATCAATATTGTGAAAATGACAATACTACCCAAAGCAATCTACAGATTCAGTGCAATCCCTATCAAATTACCAGTGACATTTTTCACAGAATTAGAACAAAAAATTTTACAGTTTGTATGGAAACACAAAAGACCTCGAACAGCCAAAGCAATCTTGAGAAAGAAAAATGGAGCTGGAGGAATCAGGCTCCCTGACTTCAGACTATACTACAAAGCTACAGTAATCAAGACAGTGTGGTACTGGCACAAAAACAGAAATATAGATCAATGGTACAGGATAGAAAGCCCAGAGATAAACCCACGCACCTAAGGTCAACTAATCTATGAAAAGGAGGCAAGAATATATAACAGAGAAAAGACAGTCTCTTTGCTGGGAAAACTGGAAAGCTATATGTAAAAGAATGAAACTAGAACCCTACCTAACACCATACACAAAAATAAACTCAAAATGGATTAAAGACCTAAATGTAAGGCTGGGCACTATGAAACTCTTAGAGGAAAACATAGGAAAAACACTCTTTGACATAAATCACAGCAAGATCTTTTTTGATCCAGTTCCTAGAGTAATGAAAATTAAAAGAAAAATAAACAAATGGGACCTAATTAAACTTAAAAGCTTTTGCACAGCAAAGGAAACCATAAACAAGATGAAAAGACAACCCTCAGAATGGGAGAAAATATTTGCAAATGAAGCAACTGACAAAGGATTAATCTCCAAAATATACAAACAGCTCATGCAGCTCAATATCAGAAAAACAAACAACCTAATCCAAAAATGGGCAGAAGACCTAAATAGACATTTCTCCAAAGAAGTCATACAGATGGCAAAGAGGCACATGAAAAATGCTCAACATCACTAATTATTAGAGAAATGCAAATCAAAACTGCAATGAGGTATCACCTCACACCGGTCAGAATGGCCATCATCAGAAAATCTACAAACAGTAGATAGTGGAGAGGGTGTGGAGAAACGGGAACCCTCTTGCACTGTTGGTGGGAATGTAAATTGATACAGCCACTATGGAGAACAGTATGGAGGTTCCTTAAAAAACTAAAAATAGAACTACCATATGACTCAGCAATCCCACTGCTGGGCTTATGCCCCGAGAAAACCATAATTCAAAAAGACACATGTACCCCAATGTGTATTGCAGCACTATTTACAATAGCCAGGACATGCAAGCAACCTAAATGTCCATCAACAGATGAATGGATAAAGAAGATGGGGCACATATATACAATGGAACATTACTCAGCCATAAAAAAGAATGAAATTGGGTCATTTGTAGAGATGTGGATAGACCTAGAGTCTGTCATACAGAGTGAAATAAGTCAGAAAGAGAAAAACAAATATTGTATATTAATGCATATACGTGGAATCTAGAATAGAGACACAGACATAGAGATCAGACATGTGGACACGGGGCGGGAAGGGGAGAGTGGGATGAACTGGGAGATTAGGACTGACATATATACACCACCATGTGTAAAATAGATAGCTAGTGGGAACACGCTATAAAACACAGGAAGCTCAGCTTGGTGCTCTGTGATGACCTAGATGGGTGGGATGAGGGGTGGGTGGGAGAGAGGTCCAAGAGGGAGGGGACACATGTATACATATAGCTGATTCACTTTGTCGTACAGCAGAAACTAACACAACATTGTAAAGCAATTATACTCCAATTTTTAAAAATTACCACCCCCAAGAAAAAGTTAACATACAAGTTCCAAGGTTTAATTTACTGAAACCCAGAGTCTTAAATGCACCTAGAAAACTAGGTTGTCTTCTTAGAACTGTCTCACTTATCTGTAAATCTTTCTTTTTTATTAACCATTTATTCAACAAACATTTACTGAGCATCTACTATGTGCCCAGACATTGTGTCTGGTCTGATGATGCTACAAGGAAGAAGATGCAGACCCAAGTCTCTTACCAGGCTCAGCACTCCCCAGCAGTCCCATCCCACCCCCACGGAGAGCTACACCATCTCTCTTAATCAGTGGCATTTCCAGGTTTGCAGTGGAAATTACAGAATGACATTTCACTTTTGCAGCCTCTTAGGCTGGAATGATATTCAATGCCTCTCTCTCCCTTGCCCTCAACATCCAGTCAACGATGTCCTGTCAATGTTTCCTTCATAATGTTTCCTCAGGTTCATCCCTTCTTTCTGCCTCATTTCACGCCTGATTATTTTAACAGCTCCTTTTGTTTCCTATTTGAGAAAACTTTTAAACTATAAAGAAGTACAAAACAAACACCAGTAAACCCATTACCCAGAATTGACTGTCATTAATATTTTCTTATACTTAGAAGATTCATCAATTTGTCTAGAAGAGTCAAAGAAGAAAAACATGATAAGAAAGAAGAAAATGGTAAGATCCCTTCTTTATGGAACTAGTTATCTTATTAGGAACTGAGCTTAGGTGTTCATTTTGGTCTTCCTAAGAGAGTTTTCACCAGCCCCTTCTCTCAGTCAAGACCTTCAATGGCTCCCTATTACCTGTACCTGGCCCCAGCCAATCTCCCACCACTCCTTCAGTGAACATACCCTTTGGCCACAATGGCCATCCTGATCTCTAAATTTATCCCTACCTGTCCCTCCACTTTTACCCAAGACCTTCGACCTGCCTGGAAACTCTGCCTCTTTCCTCTTTCAGATCTTTGCCCAAACCTCTATCCCTCTCAAAGCTGTACCTGACCAGACAGCCTATGATGGCATTTTCCTCCCCTTCAGCAATAGTGTTCTCTACGGCTAACGATGTTTGTACCAACATTTGGAACTCTGAATGTTTTTCTGTTAATCACTTGCTTTCATAATAAGATCATTAACTGAAAGAAGCAATCTTACCATTTTCTTCCTTGACACCTCCAAGCCCAGCAAATTTCTTGGCACTTAATGGGCCCTCAGTAAATGATTAATTCAGATTCGTTTCTGATGGTAGAGTTGAAGCTGCCCCGAACTTTTGGAACATGTGCCCCTCGGGGGATGAAAGTCATCCTATTGAACCCCAAGTAGCAGTAATTATTCACATTTGTGTAGTGGCTCCTAGCCTACAAGGTGTTTTGACCCACCGTTACCTTCATGATTCTCATCACAGTCGTGAGAGTCAGGTGTCATTATTTTATCCCATTTTATAGATGAGGGACTAAGGCTCGAAGAGATGCAATTACTTGCCCAAGGTCACATGCCTGGTACGTGATGCAGCCAGGATTTGAGTCTAGGTTTTTCGGTAACTCAGCTCTTCCCATGACCCACACCACCTTCACCAAAGAGGCCAGAGACGGGAGGGTCCAGGGAGTGGGAGGGAGGAGCTGGGAAGCGGGGGCCTTCACTTACTGGTCGGTTTTCATACTCCAGGCAGGGGCAGGTGATGGTGCAGCCATCCAGAAGGATGCGGCCCTTGGGGGGGATCACTTTCCGACCCCCCTCGAGCTTGTAGTACAGCAACGTGTTCTGCCGAAGGATGAACCATCGCACCTTCCAGTTGTGGACAATGTGACCCTGAGGACAGACAGGAGAACCCTGAGGTGAGGTGGCCGAGGGGACAACGTGGTGTCCAGGGAGAGGTGGCCCATGGCACAGGTGACCAGACTGTGCCATGGGATCAACTCTCCAATACGGGGACAGAATTATCTCTCTTTTTTAGCTTAATTTTATTTTTTTACTTTGAAATAGTTTCAATTCAGAGAAAAGCTGAAGAAAATTATAAATTTTTTTACAAAAGCAATTAAGAGTTAGTTTTTAACATGATGAAGCTCCAATCACTTCTCAGTATTTTATTGTGTAACTCCTACCAAAAAATAAAAAGGGTATTTCCAGCATAACCACAATACGACATTAGAAAATTTACATGAATATATTATTTTCATCTGTTCCACAAACTCCATTCAAGTCTCACCAATTACCCCAATAATGTCCTTAACTGCCAAAGGATCCAGTTCATAATCACATGTTTTATTTTCATTTTCATGAAGAAAGCATGAGCTTTGGATCTCTTTGTCATCTCTTTTGAGTATGTAACAAACACCTTTGGCATTGACTTTCTAGTTCCCATCTGTTCTTTTTTTCTGGTTATAAGCCTTGAAAGAAACTGCAAAGTCAACAGAAGAAAAGATCCTGCTACTGGGAGACAGCCATTGTTAACATTTTGTATTTCCTTCCAGTCTTTTTCCCTTTTAGTTTTTACTTTCTGGTTTTTTTAAAAATCAGGATATTACATATATGAGTTTTATTTTCTAGTGTTTCTTTTGCTGACTTTGCCAAGCATCGTCTCACACCATTAAATTTCTTTAAAACATGTCTTTTAATGACCACTAGGTGGATGCATCATTTTCTTGTCCATCTCCTGTTGTAACTGAGGTTGTTTTTTTTCACTATTATAAACAACTCTGCAATGAATATCCTTGCACATAAATTTTGATCTGCATCTCTTAATTTTTTTTCCTTAGGATATATTCCGAAAAAAGAATATTATTAGTTGAAGGATGTGGGCAATTTGTAAAGTTGAAGCCACAAATTGTTAAGGACCCTAACATTTTTACCTAGCCTGCTGTGACAGGCCTAAAAGGCAGGGGAGTTGGGGGGGCTCTCAGGTGGGTCATGGAGCTAGTGGACAGGATAGTCAGGTGAAGGCAGAGAGTCTGTTTCTAGAACAGAACAGTGGATGGGAAAATGTCTGCTGAAGAATCAGAATGAAATGATTTTGTACACGCTCATGAAAGTGACTTTCTTGGCATGTTTCCCAGAGCAGAGCCCAATTAGGGCTGGATTCTAACCAAGAGAGATGCACTTTATCTGATTCAGAGACTGTCCCCGATTCACTGGTTTCCTGACCCAGCATTTAGTAATTTCAAAGGCCGCTTCAGTTCTCATATCTGTGGCGCTGCAATTCTGTTCCACGCTCAGCGCGCGTGTACTGACTGTGTTAGGGAACCGAAAATTGTCGAAGGAGTCGACTGTGTGAGCACTGGTCTACACCAGACCACATGGCCCAGACTCAAGTCCCCTCGCCCAGCAATCCCTGCTGAGGGGGTCCTGGCGCAGCAATTAGCAGTAAAGGCAGTTGCTGGCACACAGGTGTGGCTCCGGCATGGGGGCCGGTGTGAGGCGGAGAAGGGGAGGGGGCAAAATAGTCTTAAACCTTAAAACATAGGGGTTCTGAGCTGAATTATCCCCCCCTCCCCATTCATATGTTGAAGCCCTAACCCCCTACTACCTTAGAATGTGACTGTATTTGGAGACAGGGCCTTTAAAGGGGTGATTAGGTTAAATAAGGCCATTAGTTGGGCCTTAATCCAATCTGACTGGGGTCTTCACAAGGAGAGGAAATTTGGACACGCAGATGTCAGGGAGGCATGCACACAGAGGAAAGGCCATGTGAGCACACAGCAAGACGTGCCATGTACAAGCCGAGGAGAGAGGCGTCAGAGGAAAGCAAGCCTGCCAACAACTTGACCTTAGACTCCGACCTCCAGAACTGCAAGACAATAAATCTGTTGTTTAGGTGGTCCTGTCTGTGGTATTTTGTTATAGCAGCCCTAATAAACTAAAACAACCGGAAAGGAGAAAGGGGCCTGGAGATGTTAGGGAGAAAAGTGTAACCAACACATGTTGAGCAGAACAAACCAATAGAGATAGGGCTACGTTTCCTGGACAAAATGCTACATTTCCCAGAATCGATGGCAGGAAGGAACAGGGAGGTGGCCAGGTTGCTGCCAGTCCTGTGCATGGGGCATTGATGCATGTTTGGCAGCCACCAAGGTGGCAGGATAGTGGTGGAAGGACAGGTTCTTCTGACACCCAATCCCCAGAGTTACCAGGGACAAGTGGCAAACAGTGGCGGCAGTGACGTTTCCACAAGAAACGTCTGGTGGTGCTGTTGGATATTTTGGTCTGGCGGCATCATCTCTGGCTGTGTGGCACCCGGCCCTCCCAAATATTCCTGAGTTACTTGATATTTATTATTCTCTATGAAATCCCTTCCGTTGAAACTTGCTAGAGTGGACCGTGTTATGAGCAGCTAAGAATCCAGACAGCAAAGGAGAGCAATCGAAGAAAGGCTGATGAGATAGAATCTACTACGTAGGTAGAAAACTCGGAGCAGCTGGTGACTTCACTGTGGCCAGAGGGGAGTCCCTGAAGACTTTTAAGCAGAAGGATGACAAGCGTAGGTTCTCATGTTAAAAGGATCAACCGACCACACCTGAGCAGAACAGCTGAGTAAGGTCGGCCAGACTGGAGCAGCCAGCTCAGCTGGAGGTTACTGTAATAATCCACAAAATGAGAAGGAAAGCCCCATTATCCCTGCTTCTCAGATAAGCTTCGCCATAATCAGAGGGCGTAAGGGACTCATCCAAAATCAGCAGGCAAATGGTGTCAGAGGCCAAAAGTACAGTGGTATAAGCTGAAAAAGAACCCAGGCTTCCCTTCACCTGGGAATCTGCCTCCCTCTCCAGGCTCCTTGTCTGTAAGTGGCTGACTGGGACCAGAGGCCAGTTGGACCATGAATGGCTTAGAGCCCCCTTAGGGGGAAGGAGGAGATTCCATAAGCTGGGATGTGACCCTAGGACTGGGCTTAAGAAGCACAGAATGGGACTTCTCTGGCACAATGGTTAAGAATCCGCCTGCCAATGCAGGAGACACGAGTTCGAGCCCTGGTCCAGGAAGATCCCACATGCCGCAGAGCAACTAAGCCCATGTGCCACAACTACTGAGCCTGTGCTCTAGAGCCCACGAGCCACAACTACTGAGCCCATGTGCCACAACTACTGAGCCCACGTGCCACAGCTACTGTAGCCCATACGCCTAGAGCTCCGCAACAAAGAGAAGCCACCACAATAAGAAGCCCACGCGCCGCAATGAAGAGTAGCCCCCACTAGCTTCTCTCTGCAACTAGAGAAAGCCTGTGCACAGCAACAAAGACCCAACGCAGCCAAAAATAAAAATTAAATAAATAAAAATTGAAAAAAAAAAAGCACAGAATATTACAGCTGGAGGACCCTTTGAAAAAGCCTATACTATACTCCCTAACTTTAATGATGAGGAAACTGAGACCCAGAAAGGTCTTGCCCAAGACCCTACAACCCCAAAGAAGCAGAGATGGTATTTGTTGTGGGTTGAATTATGTCCCCCCAAAAGATACATTGAAGTCTTAACCCCAGGGAACTGCGAATGTGATCTTATTTGGAAATAGGGTCTTGGCAGATGTAATCAGGTTAAGATGAGGTCATACTACACTAGGGTGGCCCTAATAACACTAATATGATTGGTGTCCTTATATGAAGAGGAAAATTTGGACACTGAAAGACACACAGGGAGAAGACAGTCATGTGACGATGGAGGCAGAGATAGAATGATGCATCTACAACTCAAGGAACAGCAAGGAGTGCCTGTGTGAGATAACAGAAAATGCAATATGTTGCTCTCTGCCCCCGGTTCTTGGTACACAGCTCCTGAACCCCCTGTAATTTCCTGGGTGACAGGAGTATCTTTTGTGCTAATGAGGCAACTCTGGGTGGGCTCCTGGGTGAGGGCTGGTCACTGGAAAGACCACACCATGATTAGAAGCTTGGAATTTTCAGCCCCCCTTCCCATTCTCTTGAGAAAAGAGAAGGGCTGGAAATGGAGTTAACAATCTATCATGCTTACATGATGACACCTCCATAAGATCCCAGAAATATGGGATTTGGAGAGTTTCCAGGTTGGGGGACACACGGGGGTGCTGGGAGAGTGGTACACTCGGAGAGGGCACAGAAGCTCTGGGCCCCTTCCCACATACCTTGCCCTACACATCTCTTCCATCTGGATGCTCATTTCTTTATCACATTCTTTAATAAGCTGGTAAACATAAATTAAGTGTTTCCCTGGAACCTCTGATCTATAGGCAGTTGGTCAGAGTACAGGTGACAACCTGGGCGTTTGACTGGTGTCTGAAGTGTGTGTGTGTGTGTTGGGGCATGGGGGAGGGCTGGGGAAGCAGTCTTGTAGGACTGAGCTCTTATGCTGTGGGATCTAACGCCGTCTCTGAGTAGATAGCGTCAGCCTTGAGTTAAATTGTAGGACACACACTGGGTGTTGCAGAGAATTGCTTGGTGTAGGGAAAAACCTCCACACATTTGGTGACTAGAAGAGTCAGAAGTGAAGTGTTCTGTGTAAAAGTAAAGGAACCCCACAGGATAGAGAAACACACAGTGGGGAAGAGCTAGGTTTTTCCTATACAGGAAGGAAAAACCTGCGTGTTTCCTTTACAGCCTGCAAATACAAGAAACAAAAGCGACAAAGAAGGATTCTCCCCTGCAGGTTTCAGAGGGAGTATGGCCCTGCGAACACCTCGATGTGAGACCTTTAGCTTTCGAAACTTCTTCTAGCCTTCTTGCTTTTTTCTTCCAAGCAAATTTTTTCCTTACTCATACCATTTATATTTTTACTCTTTGGATTATAATATTATAAACATTTTTAACCTCTGCATAACTGAAATTCACTTGTAATCATTTGTTTATTTGGGGGGACATATAGGTAGTTTCCAGTTTTTTCACTACAGAAATAACACTTTGTTCCTAAAGCTTGTATGGCATTTCCTGGGGATAGAGTCCTACAAATGAAATTTCTAGGCCAAAGCGTGTCGACACTGCCATGTCATTTTCTGAGTGTTGTTTCTGAGGTACGAGCCGGGCAGCAATGCCTGATTCAGTGCTTCAGCTGCTTCTTAAAGCACAAGCAGTCCTACCCGTGCAGATCCGCCTTCCTTCCCCCTCACGCTCCTTCTAAAGCCAGGCCAAGTGAGCACTCTGCATTTCTGTCGGGAGCTTTGCTTCTTTCTTGTCTGGGCTGGATTAAGAGCCAAATCCATCATGTCCCTGCCCGTCTCCTGCTTTGCCCTCACTGGTGACGACTGTTCTGTACGCTGGGTTTCCAGCTTAGGCCCTGCCCCACTTCTGGACAGTAATCCCCCCCCGAATCTGTGGAATCCCACCGTCGTAGCCCTGCACCTTCTCCAGTGGCCACGGGGGCTGCTGTTGCCATCCAGGAGGAGGGGGGAAATGGGGGAGAGGAAAAGTCCGCCTGATCAGTGGGCAGGGACAGTTAGCAGGGGCAGGGGCCCCATCCCTGCCTTGTAGGAAAGGGTGTGGCTTCCGCTTGCCTCAGGGTCAGGCTCCAGCTCCAAACTCTTGTCTTTGGGTTTGGCTGGAATGTGCTTTAGGTATTTCAGCCAAGGCCCTCGGTGGGCTTTTGGGGCCAGACCTGTTGACTGTCCTCACTTCCCTGTACCCTATACTCCCTAAGCTGCCACCCTGGACTGGGTGGCCCATCTGGAAGAGAACTCACATCCTTCCTTCCCTCCAGCCCTCCCCTGACTCTGCGTGGTGGTGGTGTTGGTGGGGAATCATATAAAGTAACCCCCAGGAACAAGGGGATGCCCCAAAGGGCCCCTCTGCGAGGGCTTGTCCTCAACAGGCCCCTACCAGGGCTCGGCTATCCCGGCAATCAACAATGCCCATCAAAACCCCTGCCCAAACCCCTCTCCCTCTCACCTTATGAGCTGCAGGAAAAGCTCCCCATAGGTGGTCTCTCTGAGGTGCAGCTGCCTCCACAAACTGTGAGGGACCAACCTATCACTTTAATCCCAGTGGCATGGAACAGGCGTGGAATTTTGTACCTGCTTGTATCCACTCTGACCCTTGATCCGGCACAGCCTCCTACACCTCCTGCTTACAGTTTTGAGCAAACAACACACCCACCCTCCTATGTCAAATAGTGTGTAAAATAACATGGCTGCATTACCTATTGAACAGAAAGTGACTTGAGACCTCAGGGTTGATCTGGTGGCCAGGGGAGGCCGAGTCCCTTCATCCCTCTTCATCCATCCCCCTTCCAAAGCTATAAACTCAGAAGAGCCAAAAGGCTCATCCCCAGATTTTATGCTCTGCTCTTAGGGTTAGCATAAATGTTTAGTGTGAATATCAATGTTAAAAGAACTTTTAAAAATCTAATTTCCTCTTGCAGCTGCTTTTTCATTCATTTTCTACTTTTTTTTTTTTTTTTTTTGCGGTACGCGGGCCTCTCACTGTTGTGGCCTCTCCCGTTGCGGAGCACAGGATCCGGACGCGCAGGCTCGGCGGCCATGGCTCAGGGGCCCAGCCGCTCCACGGCATGTGGGATCTTCCCCGAACCGGGGCACGAACCCGTGTCCCCTGCATCGGCAGGCGGACTCTCAACCACTGCGCCACCAGGGAAGCCCTCCCGATATGTTGACTTTTTGTCTGGACTCTTGCTTGCTGTGGGAAAGGCCACATGGGGTGATGTGGAAGAAACGAGGATGGCGGTTCCAGTCCCGGCTGTTATTAGCCCTGGGGCTCTGGGCAAGCGCTCTCATCTTTCTACCCCTGTTTCCTCATCTGTAGTACAGGAATAACAATACCCACCCTGCAGTGGGCAGAAAACGGTTTGGAGTCAGCCTGAGTGGGTTTGATCCTGTTCCATCACCCACTAGTCCAGATCCTGAGCTACTTAACCTCTTGGAGCTTTGTTTTCCCCTTGAAGAAACGGGGGGGGGGGTAATGTGGTACCACCAACCTGTCGGACTGTTGGGAGGATTAAAGGAGACAACGTCCAGGACTGGTGCACAGTAGGGGCTTAAGAAACATAGGCTTCCTCCTCCCACACGGGTTATTGTGAAGAATATAGGAGATGATGCATTAACTGGACGGGCGCTGGGGACTACCGAACACACTTTCGTTGTTTTAATACATCATATTTAAATCCTATACGCTTCGTATTTTAGTAAGTTGTTTTAATTAAGCTGTCCACTACGAGTAGCCGCCCCCTGTACCCCACACGCCCTAGCCAAGCGAGATTCTCCTCCTCGCCTGTGCCCTGGCCCCTCTTTTCTATCTAAAGCTCACCCCCAACCACCGTCCACCCGGCTTTCCCTACTACACGCGACTCCGCCCAGCGTGGCCCCAGGCCGGCCGACCGCGGCTCAGGTGAGCCGGCGCCCGCCGCGGGCCCGCCCCGGGCTGTGTCCGGAGAGGCTCCGTTGCGCTCACCCTCTTGACGAGGAAGCCCTCCTTGAGCACGCCGTCCTCCATGTCGCCGCCAGCGCGCCCTCCCCGGTGCGCCGTCCCGCGCTCCCGCTCCTCCGCGCGCAGCTCGGCGCGCGCTGCGCCCAGGAAGCGCCTCCGATCCGGCGCCGGCGCCGCCCCGCTGGCCCGCGCCCAGAGCCCGAGGCCGCGGGGCCTCCCGGGCAGGAAGTCAGTCCCGGACGGGATTTCTGACGTGGTCTCCCCGCCGAAGGTGCCCTAAGGTCCGTGGTTAGTCCTCAGGGGAGGGCCGCCCCCGTGTCGCCTCCCGGAGCCTCCCCCGCCCAGGCTCTCTCCATCCAGGTTCCCCCAGCGCGCTCTGCGCCTCTGACTCTTCCCGTCTTTGCCCATCTTCCTCCACTCCCAGCCTTAACCAGGTACTTGCGTGGCACTTAGTATATTGCTGTTGACTATTACTTAACGGAATTAAGCTGAACCGAAAGGATTTCAAAGATTTGGGGTCATTCCTGAGCTCCATGGAAATGGGGGTGGGAGAGTGGAGGAGTTGGAACCAGGCTGGGAGCTTTATCCTGGCCTCTGGTGGGGGCAGAGAAAAGTTCCCATTAGCAAGGTCACAGGTTTAAGGAAGCAGGCACAGTCGGTCCCCAAAATACACCTCTCCCCTCAAAAAGTTAGAGCTGAAGTTTCCATCATTAGGGGCAAAAGTTAAGGGAGTGCCAAGGAGCTCAGTAATCAAGATAAATAATATTTTAATGCAATGTTTTAAAATATGTTAATATTTTTAAAAATTTTAGTAAAAATTAATGCAAAAAAAAAATCCATGATGAACAAAATGTCACAAATTTAAGTGAGGACTGGATGGATGGACAACAAGCCATATTGGAGCCTGAAACAAAAGGAAGCATCAGTAAAACTGATCCTGTGTGGTAGTCCTTAGGAGAAGGTCAGTTTATTCCTTGTTTGCCCCGCAGTGTGAAGGGCCCTGTTAGGACTGTTCACCAGGAAGGGGAAAGGCCCCAGATGCGTAAAAGGGAAGAGAAAGCTCTAGATTGGGAGATGGTGCCCCTGGCTGCCTTTCAGACCCAGCCTGGAGCCCACTCCCAAAGCACAACAGGCTCCTGTGCCCTGGAAATGGCCCATTTCAGCCTTCTGCACAAAGCAACTTTTGGATCTCAGAGGAGTCCAAAAGCAATGGGGCTTCCACTCCATTGCAGACTGAACATCGACTCAGCACCTTCTAAAGCCAGGCCTGTATTGGGTGCTGGGTTCTATTTAATGCACAGCATGCCATGAGGTGAGTTTATTATCTCATTCTTTCCAGCCAAGGAAACTGAAACTTGAAGCAGTTAAATAACTTGCCCAAGGTCACACAAACTTGGATTTTAACCCCAGGGCAGTGTGAATGCACTTGTTTCTCATGTCAAGAGCTGGGAAGAGGAGGAAAGGATAACCGGAGCTGTGAAAACTTGCTAGGCTCAAACCCAGGACATGAGAGACTGGAATGGGAAATTCTTATCCTCTTTGGCTCTAACTATGGTCTGTTATTCTTCTTCTCGGATGCTGGGGGGCAGTCATTTGGCACAGAGGCAGTTTTGGCCTTACCCAGACACAACCTTCTGAGGCTTAGAAGAGGTGGCATTTTCTTTGGCAAGAGGAGTTCCTGAATGAGTTCACAGAAATGGGAAAGGGAGAAAGATTGGTCCTCTATCCTGGCAGCATCCATATTAGGAGGGAGCTAAGGCCTCTGCATACTTAGAACCTGCTTCCTGTCCTAGGAAAGCCCCTGGTCCAGCCCACCCCAAGTCTGACTCACTGGACACAGGGCATGAGTCACACTCCCTCTTCCCCTGGTTGTGGTGGCTGAGCCACCAGTCCACCAGGGAACTACACTAACATAAACCAGACTCAACCACAGCGAAGAGGATGGAGACAGAGGAAGCAGAGAGACAGTGGGAAACAGCTTGAGACTGGAGGAAGGAAGCAGGGAAGGGAAGGAAACTCGGGACCAAGGAACTTGTTCTTCCAGAGAGACACCTCCCGTCTCCTTTTCAGGGCCAGAGGCTGTTGTGGAAGGGACTCTGACTCTCTCAAAAGGGCCAGCTGATGTCTAGAATGTGTAAGCTGTAGAGAGCTATAAGGTCAGTATTTGGGTGTCGGTGATTCACAGCCTGATGTGAAATTCTACCATTGGAGAGTCACTTCTTTAGCTATAGCTAAGAATCCCATTTACTAACACTAGAAAAGGATAAATCATGAAGCCTTATTCACAATGAATACCTTGACCCAGTGAGTTTGTTAGAACCACAGAATCAGAATTTAATTCTTAAATCATCTAATCCAGTAACCTCATTTTATAAATGAGGACCCCAAAGCCCAGATAAATAAAATGACTTGTCCACAGTCCCACAGCCAGTTAGTGGCAAAGCCAGGACCAGAATACAAGCTAACCATGTAAGGCTTGCTCCTGGCAAATGCAGGGGCACTTCCCCCAACAGTGTCCTGCATCAGAGCAGGACTGCAGTGAGGGAGTGACTGTCTGCAAAACCAGAAAAGACTTTAAACAATGTTTTCTATATTTTTTCTGATCATAAAAATAATCTGTGCTCATTATAGAAAGTTTAGAAAATACCCAAAAGGATAAAACCACTCAAATCCCATCACCTAGACAGGTGATGAGTATTTTTACATGCACGTATATTTTTATTAAATTTTATTTTAAAAATTTAAACCCTTCCTTTTCCATTTGTCATAGCTAATAAGCATCTCATCAAATCATTAAAAACAATTCAGAAACATAACTTTAATGGCTGCATAATATTTCATCATGCCTATTTCATAATGTATTTATTTGATCATTTCCATTTAGGTTGAATTTCCTGTTTCACTGTGTAAATGATGCTATGATAAATATCTCTATACATAAAGATTTTGCTACATCCCTGATTATTTCAGATAAATATCTAGGGCTTAATTTTAGGTTAAAGCATATAAATTTTTAAAATTCTTGACACATGTTGCCAAACTGCTTTCTAGAAATGTACCACATTTCTAGATGCCCTCACCAGCAGCATATATTAATGCCGGTCTCCTGTGTCTATCAGACCCAACACAGACCATCCCCAGTTGCCTATGCTCTGTATTATCTCTGTTTTATCTCTGTTGGGAGTGGACCCCTACTCCCCAGGAGCAGTCAGCTGGAGGGGGTCCCCCTGGAAGAGACTCAGAACTGGGAAGCTGCTGGGGAAAGGGGCAGTGAGAGGCCCAGAATAGGGCACCACTCACAGGAAAAGGAGGGCTTGTGGGGTCCTGAAATGTAAAAGTTTAGGCAGAGACAAAAAGGGGGAGGAGAGAGGAGCTAAGAGTGCAGGCAACAGGAAAAGTTGGAAGAGAAATTTTGCCCAAACCTTGGCTTTGCCCAAGGCCATCAAATTGCCCTCTTACAGTGAGAAACATATTCATTCATTCATCCATCAATTCATGCATTCACTCACTGGAGCAGGAGACTCAGAGTGTATCCTGTGTACAAGGCACAAACCAGTTGCCATGGGTAATACACAAACCCTGCCCCCAGGCCTCACCCATCCGTGTAAACAAGGTATCATTTTGATTAACCACAAATATTTCCCTGGTCTGCCGCAGCTGACCCGGCAGGCCCACCAGCACATAGTGAATTCAGTGTTCCAGATCCCTGCCCCTCACACCGTCTGTGGTGACGACCAGCGATTTTCATTTCCTCTGAGTCATAGACAATTGTGTGGTCCTACTTGCATGACTAGAATGGCCTCCACCACATGCAACTTACCAGAGACTTCTACATCACCTAAACTAGTCTGTATTCTGTTCAGCGAAATAAGGCTATTTCGCTTTAGCTTGAATGTCATGGCAGTGTCCACCTGCCATAAGTTTCCAAACTTACTCTCAGTTTCTTTTCTTATCTACCAAACAAATCACTCTCAAAAATCATGGCTCTAGAGCATGGGTCCTGGAATCTAAAGCATGGCTTTAAATCCTATTTCTGTCACTGCATGACCTTTGGCAAGTTACTTATCTTCCCTGAGCCTTATTTTCCTCATCTATAAAATGGGGTAATAATCGTACCTACCTCACAGGGTTATTGGACAAAACAAGTGAGATCATGAAGGTAAACTGTGTGGTTCAGTGCCTGGTACGTAGTAAGGACACAATAAATTCTCTCTGTTCCACTTGATCCCAACCCTGTGAGGTTAGTAGATGGAGTCTTGGTAATAAATACCTCCAGAGTTATGGATAAGATACAAAAGATGGGCAGGGAGTAGAGTAGGGAGTTTTTATTTACGGTATTCCTACTATGTGCCAAAGACTTAATATTTACTATCTCATTTAAGCCTCAAAATTTCCCTGTGAACTAAGTATTATACCCATTCTGTAGATGGAAAAGAAGATTCAGAGAAGGTAAATAACTTGGACAAGATCACACAGCTAGTATGTGGCTGAGTCCAGGTTATAATCTAGACCTGTCTGATTCCAAGCCTTTTTCTTTTCACCACTTCATACTGTCTCCTTTGGCCAAAGGATGTTCTCTCTTCCTTAGAAGGAATCCCCTTGTCCTAAGTCAGGGTCCCACTGTGGGAGATTGCATTACTGTTCCTGATTATTCACTGCCCTATCCTTGTGATAGAATCATACGTCCCTGCTCCAAGTCACACGCAAGAGACTTGGGATGGGTCACGTGACTTGCTTTGACCAATGAAACATCAGCTGGATATCCCAGCAGCCGCTTTAAGCACCATCACTTGGTTCCACCATTGCTCTTTCCCTGTGCCACAGCCCAGCATGACCCAGAGAGGGGCTGTTCCTACAGCTTGGATCCATTAATGAAGACAACCTGGGAAGGGAGCTGCAGCCAAACTGAGTGAGAAGTAAGCCTTTGTTGTTGTAATTACTGAGGTTTGAAGGGAGGGGTTGTTTGTTACCATGGTGTAACTTAGTGAAAACTGATACACCCACCTCTCTATCCCAGCTGCCCACTCTCACCATAATGGATGCTACAGGGCAATGCCAAAAGAACTACATGACTCGGAACCTCTCCCAGACATG